CGGAGGAAGAGGTTGAGGAGGAGGAGGAGGAGGAACATCAGTGGAGCAGAGCAGCAGGAGCAGGAGCAGCAGCAGGACATGCGAACCCTCTGAGGCCATGGTGGCAGTATAGCATGCACTCTCACTCAGACGTGCTTCGCTTGTGGCTGATCGGGTAGACCGAGGAGGAGGAGAAGGGAGAAGGAGGAGGAGCTGGCGGATTGGTCGGTACTCGCCAGACACCACTGATGTCAGTGAGTGCACATACGATGGATCGGCGTGCGCAACTGTCGCACTCTCGCGACCCCCTTTGTCAAAAAGCTAGGAGGATGCCTCCAACATTCGCCCAAAACGGGGACACCAGAGCCAGCTGGGTCGGAATGCCAGCCACTTGCGGCCCATCGCTGAGACAGACGGCAATCTATCATATTCCTCGCATCACAGGGAGGAGGAGGAGGAGGAGGAGGAGGAGGAGGAGGAGGAGGAGGAGGGGGATGAGAATAAGGATGAGGAAGAGGACGAGGATGATAATCATAATGATCATAATAATAATGATGAGGATGAGGATGAGGATGAGGATTATGATGATGATGATGACGATGATGATGATGATGCTGGTGCTGATGCTGATGATGATGAGGAGGAGAAGGATAAGGATAATGATAAGGAGGAGGAGGAGGAGGAAGAGGATGCTGCTGCTGATGACGATGGTGCTGATGACGATGATGATGCTGCTGCTGATGATGATGATGCTGATTATGATTATGAATATGATGATGCTGCTGACGATGATGAAGATGCTGATGCTGATGCTGATGCTGATGATGCTGATGATGCTGGTACTGATGATGGTGATGGTTATTCTGCCGCTGTTGCTGGTTCTGATGATGCTTATAATGCCGATACTGATGATGATGCTGAGTCTGATGATGATGAGGATGAGGAGGAGGACGAGGATGCTGCAGATGATGACGAAGCTCATGATGCTGCTGATGATGCTACTGATGCGGATGCTGATGATGATTATGATGCTGATGATGATGCTGCTGCTGATGATGATGGTGATGTTGATGGTGACGACGACGATGATGATGATGGTGATACTGATAAGGCTGATGATGATGATACTGATGCTGCTGCTGATGATGATGGTGGTGGTGATGATGATTATGCTAATGATGATGATGCTGATGGTGATGCTGCTGATTATGATGATGATGGTGATGCTGATGATGCTGATGATGATGACGACGGTGATGATGATGACGATGACGACGCTGATGATGATGTTGATGATGTTGTTGTTGATGATGATGATGCTGCTGATGATGATGATGATGATGCTGATGATGATGATGATGATGATGATGATAATGATGATGATACTGATGCTGCTGCTGCTGCTGATGATGATGATGATGATGATGACCATGATGATGATGATGATGATGCTGATGATGACTATGATGTTGATGATGATGATGATGATGATGATGATGATGATGCTGATGATGATGATGATGATGATGATGATGCTGATGATGATGATGATGATGATGATGAGATGATGATGTGATGAGGTGTGAGGATGATGATGATGAGGAGGAGGAGGAGGAGGAGAGGGAGGAGGAGGAGGAGGATGAGGAGGAGGGAGGAGGAGGATTAAGAGGTGAGGACAGGAGGAGGAGGAGGAGGGAGTAGGAGGAGGGGAGGAAGACAATCGAGGGGAGGAGGGTGGAGGCGAGGAGAAGGAGGAGCAGGAGGAGGAGGAGAGAAGGAGAAGGGAGAAGGATAAGGAGGATGAGGAGGAGGAGGAGGAGGAGGAGGAGGAGGGAGGAAGGGAGGAGAAGGAGAAGGAGAAGGAGAATGAGAAGGAGAAGGAGAGGAGGAGGAGGAGGAGGAGGCGGAAGGATGATGTGATGCTGATGCATGATGATGATGCTGATGCTGATGATGAGATGATGATGATGATGATGATGATGATGATGATGCTGATGATTGATGATGATGATGATGATGCGGATGAGGATGAGGATGAGATGAGGAGGCGGAGGAGGAGGTAGGGAGGAGGAGGAGGAGGAGGAGAAGGAGAAGGAGAAGGAGAATGAGAAGGAGAAGGAGGAAGGAGGAGGAGGAGGAGGAGAGGAGGAGGGAGGATGGATGATGATGATGCTGATGCTGATGCTGATGCTGATGCTGATGGAGATGATGATGATGCTGATGATGATGATGATGATGATGATGATGATGATGATGATGATGATGCGGTGAGGATGAGTGATGAGATGAGGATGAGGATGAGGATGATGATGATGATGATGATGATGATGATGATGAGACGATGATGATGATGATTGCTGATGCTGATGCTGATGATGATGATGATGCTGAGATGATGATGATGAGATGATGAGGAGGAGGAGGAGGAGGAGGAGGAGGAGGAGGAAGAGGAGGAATATGAGGAATAGGAGGAACAAATAGGAATAGGAGGAAATGAGGAATAGGTGAAACACGAAGACTAGGAGGACTAGGAGGACGAAGAGGAGAACGAGGAGGAGGAGGAGGAGGAGGAGGAGGAGGATGAGGAGGTAGGGGGAGGAGGAGGAGGAGGAGGAGAGGAGGAGGAGGAGGAGGATGAGGAGGAGGAGGTGGAGGAGGAGGAGGAGGAGGAGGAGGAGGAGGGAGAAGAAGAGGAAGAATAAAGGAGGAGGAGGAGGAGGAGGAAGAGGAGGAATGAGGAGGAGGAGGAGGAGGAGCAAGAGAAGAGGAGGAGGAGCAAGAGGAGGAGGAGGAGGAGGAGGAGGAGGAGGAGGAGGATGAGGAGAGGGAGGAGGAGGAGGAGGAGGAGGAGGGAGGAGGAGGAGGAGGAGGAGGAGGAGGAGGTGGAGGAGGAGGAGGAGGAGGAGGAGGAGAGGAGAAGAAGGAGGAGGAGGAGGAGGATGAGGAGGTGGAGGAGGAAGAGGAGAGGAGGAGGAGGAGGAGGAGGAGAGGGGGAGGAGGGGAGGAGGAAGGAGGAGGAGGAGGAAGAGGAGACTCTCAAGAGAGGATCTGGGGGATAGGAGGAACAAGAAGGAATAGGAGGACTATGAGGAATAGGTGAAACATGAAGACTAGGAGGACTAGGAGGACGAAGAGGAGGACGAGGGGAGAGGAGGGGGGAGGAGGAGGAGGAGGAGGAGGGAGGAGGAGGAGGAGGAGGAGGAGGAGATAGGAGATAGGAGGAGGAGGTGGAGGAGGAGGAGGAGGAGGAGGAGGAGAAGCAAGAGGAGGAGGAGGGGACAAGAGGAGGAGGAGGAGGATGATGATGATGAGGAGGAGGAGGAGGTCAAGGAGGAGGAGGAGGAAGAGGAGGAGGAGGAGGAGGAGGAGGAGGAGCGAGGGGGGAGGAGGAGGAGGAGCAGGAGAGGAGGAGGAGGAGGAGGAGGAGGAGGAGAGGAGGAGGAGAAGGAGGAGGAGCAGGAGGAGGAGCAGGAGGAGAGGAGGAGGAGGAGGAGGAGGAGGAGGAGGGGAGGAGGAGGAGGAGGAGGAAGAGGGCGGCGGCTGCGGCGGCGGCGGCGGCGAGGATCGGCGGGTGCACCGCGGGCGGCGGCGGCGGCGGCGACGGCGCCGCCCCCAGGGCGGTGGGCTGCCGCCCCCGGCTGGGCTGCCGCCCCCGGGCTTGCCGCCCCCGGGCTTGCCGCCCCCGATGCCGATGATCGGCCCGCCGCTCGGGGGGCCGCCGCGCGCCTGGGGGCACCCTCTACGACTCCTCCTGCTCCGTGTTCTCCTGACCCTTCTCTACCTCCTCCTCCTCCTTCTCCTTCTCTTCCGCCGCCGCTCTTCTGCCCCTCCTCCGCCGACCTCCTGCCCCTCCTCTTCCTCTTCCTCCTCCTCCTTCTCCTCCTTCTCCTCCTCCTCCTCCTCCTCCTCCTCCTCCTGGGCGAAGCTGGCGGCCTGCGACTTGGCATGGCTCGCCAGCCTCCAGCCAGGACTGGCAGTGCTCGGACCGCCCGGCGTGCAGTGGCGGAGTTGGCAAGCATCGATTCCTTGCCACACGGAGTGGTGGAAGGAGCTAGTGAGGCAATCGCAGTGTTTCGAGAGCTCCCTTCCGGCTGCCGGCGTCGTGGTTTGCGATCTCACCGCCGTCGGAGCCGACGTGCCGCCTGGCCTTAGATGTCCATTGTGTCCAAATGAGGCGTGCCGCATCCTAGACTCGCCGAGGGCGCTGTCGGTCCATATGCACCGCTGCCACGGCCACGTGCGGCAAGCCAGGAAGCATGTCATCGGCACGTGCTGCCAGGCATGCGGAACAGATTTTCACGTGCGCGAGCGGGCGGTGCATCACCTGCAACATTCTTCCAGGCAGTGCAAGCAGATGATGCTCGACGGAACCCTGCAGGTATATAGCGACCGGGCCATCCAGGCGGCCGAAGAGCAGGCCAAGACGGTCCGAGCATCTGCTGACTACCGCCGGCTGTGCAAGATGAAGTGCCGCCCGCCTCAGAGAGCGTAGTGTGTGAAGGTCGAGAATTGAATGCATGCTTCCTGAGATGTCGCACTGGTGTTCAATGTGGTCGCTCGCTCGCTCCTCCTCCTCCTCCTCGTCCTTTTCCTCCTCCTACTCCCTCTCCTCCTTCTCCTCCTCCTCCTCCTGCCCTTCCTCCGCCATCCTACTGCCCCTCCTCCTCCTCCTCCTCCTCCTCCTCCTCCTCCTCCTCCTCCTCTCCCCCTTGTCTCTCCTGCTCCGTCCCTCTGTCCGAGCGGCCGGCCGAGCATCGGCATCCTCCTCCTGCCCCCCCTCTGCCTCCTTGTTTCGTTGAAGCAGTCGCTACGGACGGTTTCGGGCAATCTTCGTCCTCTCGGGGGGCCCTGACGTGGAGGCCATGGGGCACCCTCTTTCTCCACCTTCTCCGCCTCCGCTTGCCCCCCCCCTCCGTCCCTCTCACGATCAGTTGCTCCCGCTTGCCCTTTCCATCGACACGCTTCCTTCGTCTTGCTACTCCCTGAATGGGCCAGGAGGAGGATGATGAGGAGGAGGGACTAGTGTAAACCCAAGAGTCATCAACGATGTTGGAATAAGCCCTCCCTCCAAGCTCCCTCTTCATAGGTCCCTACAAGGGGTCATTTCCACGGAAGGAACGGCCCCGTTGGAAGATCACCGTTTGAAGTCCCTGAAGCATGGCGCAACATTTCTTCGGGACTCCAACGCCACGGAACAACTTAAGTGTTGCGTTTTGACGATCCTGAGTCGTGCGAGAACGCCGTTCTGGGGACGTCAACACCGCGAATCAACGTAATTGTTGCGCCCTCGTAATCGTGAATCTTTCCCAAACACCATTTCTGGTATGTTGACCATGAGAATCCGTGGAATTATTGTTTTTTAGAAAGGAATGTGCGCGGCTTTAAGGCGTGACCTACATTTTGAAAAGGAGCCGCCCTCAATCCGTGAAGCTCTTGCAAGTTTTGACAACGAATGTGCGCGGCGCGAAGGCGAGAGTCACATGTTGAAAACCACCCGGCCTCAATCTGTGAAGCTCTGGCAAATGATTGGGATGAATGTGCGCGGCGCTACGGCGAGAGCGACATTTTGAAAACGACCCGCCCTCTATCTGTGAAGCTGTTGCCATTTTTTGAGCTTCAGGGTCGTAAATGGTGAGGAAGTCTCAGGCGAAACGCCCGGCTCGCCCTTTCGGCCGGCGTCGGGGTGCGACAGGGAGAAGTTGTTTATATGGAAAAGGAATGGAGGAGGAGGAGGATGACGACGACGACGATGACGACGACGACTACTACTACTAGCATTATTGTTATGATTACTACTACCAGTTTTATTATTGTTATCACTACGATTATTGCTACGTTATAGGTATGGTACTATTAGTACACATAGGACAAGTGCTACTGTACGTTATAGCAATATGATTAATCAAACGATCAATGCATCTAATAGTCATGTTGTTAGCTAATAGCAGTGTTGAGTACAGCAATATTAGCAAGAGTACTAATCATATTGGTAGCAATGATACTAACACTGATGAGTATGAACGTGGTAATGCCAATACTCGAAATCATATTAGAAGTGCGGACACGGATAATACTAATAGTAGTAGTCCTATCAATATTAATTACATTGTAGAGTACTGCACAGGTGGAGCTCCCTATGGGGCCACGAAGCGGTGTACTGGGTGTGGTTGACGCATGTGGCAACCCCCACTGGGGCCGCAGATGGAGCTTTCTATGGGGCCACGACGCGCTGTACTGGGTGTGGCGGACGCATGTGGCCACCCCCACTGGGCCCTTAGGTGGAGCTCCCTATGGGGCCACGAAGCGCTGTACTGGGTGTGGCGGACGCATGTGGCCACCTGGGGTCTTAGGTCGAGCCACGAAGCGCTGTACTGGGTGTGGCGGACGCATATTGCCACCTCCACTGGGGCCGCAGATGGAGCTTTCTATGGGGTCACGAAACGCCGCACTGGGTGTGGCGGACGCATGTGGCCACCCCCACAGGGGCCTTCGGTGGGCGGAGCTCCCTATGATGCCACGAAGCGCGGTACGGGGTGTGGCGGACGCATGTTGCCACCGCACCTGGGCTCTCAGGTGGAGCACCTATGGGGCCACAAAGCGCTGTACTGGGTGTGGCGGACGCGTGTGGCCACCCACACGGAGGCCGCAGATGGAGCTCCCTATGGGGTCACGAAGCGCTGTGCTGGGTGTGCCGGACGCATGTGGCCATCCCCACTGGGGCCTTAGGTGGAGCTCCCCATGGGGCCACGAAGCGCTGTACAGGGTGCGGCGGACGCATGTGGCCACCCCCACTAGGCCCTTAGGTGGAGCTCCCTATGCGGCCACGAAGCGCTGTACTGGGTGTGGCGGACGCATGTGGCCACCCCCACTGGGGCCTTAGGTGGAGCTCCCCATGGGGCCACGAAGCGCTGTCTTGGGTGTGGCGGACGCATGTGGCCACCCCCACTGGGGCCTCACGTGGAGCTCCCTTTCGGGCCGCGAAGCGCTGCGCTGGGTGTGGTGGACTCATGTGGCCACCCCCACTGGGGGGCGGGTGGGGCAGCGGGAGGAGGAGACGCGGGGACCGTCTCTTCAAAATGAGGACCCAACACCACAGGATGGTTGGGAACAAGAAGAGAAGAAGGAGTAGGAGGAGGAGGATGAGGAGGAGGAGGAGGAGGAGGAGGAGGAGGAGGAGGAGGAGGATAATGAGGAGGAGGAGGAGGAGGAGGAGGAGGAGGAGGAGGAGGAGGAGGAGGAGGAGGAAGAGGAGCTGGAGGAGGAAGGAGGAGGAGGAGGAGGAGGAGGAGGAGAGGAGGGAGGAGGAGGAGGAGGAGGAGGAGGAGGTAGATCAGCCTTTCTGCGGCTCTCTGCCAGTCGCCTTCGACAAACCGTCAGGCGGGGTCCCCAGGGCCGTCAAGGACGTCTCGGGATGAAACGCCGCCCCTGTGGAAAGCGTCGGGCCTTCCGGGGCCCCGTGTGGAAGAAATGGGGAACTCGGATCTCTGGGCAGACGGCCCCTGCGCACCACCATGCCTGGCCAGGGCCATCCTGGGCCGCGGGGACGGTGCACGGACACGCTGACCTCGGCCACGAGGGCGGACGCGCCATGCCAGGGCCCAGCGTGGCCCCTGGCCGTGCGCAGGTGGCGTGCGGGCGCCTTCTGCGCTCCTGCTCCGCCGCGGCCCGGGCCTGCGGCCGTGGCCCGCTCCTCCTCCTGCTCCTCCTCCTCCTCCTCCTGCTGCTCCTCCTCCTCCTCCTCCTCCTCCTCCTCCTCCTAAGTGGGGGCAGGCGCGCCCTTCTCCTCCTCTTCCTCCTCCTCCTTCTCCTTGTGCGCCTTTTGGCCGCGCCGCTGCTCCCTCGACTACGCTTCGCCTCGGATGGTGTCCGCCGCGTCGTCCGCTCGTCCGTCAGTCTCCTGGAGAGGGGTGGTGGTGGCAGTCGGACGGGGGCCGCGCGGCGGCCGGCGGCGCGGCGTGCCAGCATGTTCGAAGGCGCTGCTTAGCGCACACGGTGCTGCTCTTCTTCCTCATCCAGCCCCCCTTTCCTGCCTTACCTTCTCCATCTTCTCCACCTTCTCCACCTTCTCCACCTCTCCATCCTCCTCCCCCTCCCCCTCCTCCTCCTGCCCCTTGGAGTTTCTGGGGGGCTTCTGGTGGCGTCCACGGATCCTCGCGTGCTACGTTGTCTCCAGTCTGTGTGTGTGTGTGTGGTCGCGGGCCGAAGCAGAGCAAAGTCTCGCCCAGGGGGTCTCGCCCCTTGAGCAGCCCTCCGGATGCTTGTTGCCCTCGCAGCATCAAGTTATTGTGCGCAGTCGGTGGCGCGGGGGGTAGCTTTCTAATAAGACAGCTTTCTAATAAGACAGGGGGGTAGCTTTCTAATAAGACAGGGGGGTAGCTTTCTAATAAGACAGGGGGTCTCTGAAAGGCCTCCTGGCTTCCAAGGACCCTCTTCAGAAGCCCCCGGGCAATTCTCAGAAGCCCGCAGCCTTCTTAGACAGTCGCCCCCCTCGCGGCACCCCTTTGTGCGCGCCGCCAGCGCATGGCAAACCGACCAACCAGCATCCCGCTTTCTTAGATCCCCCCTGCTCCCCCGACGTGTGAGCAGTCATATAAGCACGCACAGCAAAGCATATGTTCCTATAGTGCCTGCCTTCTCCCGCTCTCACTGCAAAGACTCATATAGAACCAGTGACACATAACGAGTGAGAGAGAGAGAGAGAGAGAAACATAACGAGAGAAAGCGAGAGCGAGACACATGTCATCATCCAGTAGCGAACGTCCAGGCGCTCGCGATCTGGAGGCACCCGCTGCTGGGGAACCTTGCGCTGCGATGGCGCAGAAAACCGCTGCGGATAAAACACCAAATGCGAGCAAGAGCGTGTAGAGGCCATGCCACACGCGTCTCGGTGTGGGCTGGGGAAGATCAGGGGCAACCGATGGGGAGTAGGAGCACGGTGGAGAAGCTCAGTGAGGGAAGAGCCAGGGAAAACCATTGCCCGATGAGGAGGACGAGGAGGATGATGATGATGAGGAGAAGGTGGAGAAGGAGGAGGAGGAGGAGGATGAGGAGGAATAAAAGGAGGAGGAGGAAGAGGAAGGGGAGGAGGCGGAGGAGGAGTAGGAGGAGGAGGAGGAGGGAGGAGGAGGAGGAGGAGGAGGAGGAGGAGGAGGAGGAGGAGGAGGAGGAGGAGGAGGAGGAGGAGGAGGAGGAGGAGGAGGAGGAGCGGGCCTGGCTGGTGGCCGAGGTGCTCTGGCCATGCCTCCGCCGCCCAGGCGCCGAACCCCCTGCCGCCGCTCTCGTTGGAAAGGGGGTTCGCTGGAAGGGGAGAAGGATCTGGAGCAACGATAGCCACCGGTCGTCGAAAGTAGGTATTTTTGGATTCCGAGATTCAATCTACTTGAAGCGCCCTCCTACTTCAATGATCGAGTGGCTTCCCCTCTTCCCTCTTCTGGGGGCGGGCGGATACCCAATCTACTTTCAACGCCATCACACTTCATGTTTCTGCCTACTTCTTCCGACCGATGGGTATGGGGGGATGTAGTGGAGACTGCATCGACCCCCAATGGCCCTTTCATCGCCGATCTGGGGCCCGATGGCCCCATATGGCCCAGGAGCACGCGGATTCGCTGTTGGAGGCCTATCGCCGAGCTCTCGGCGATGTATCGCCGATTCCAGGTCGATGTTTCCTCCCCTATACCAGTTCCCCTCTATCGCGGCCCCTCAAAGGAGGAATTTCCAGGAGCAGCATGAGGAGGACGATAATGATGGTCGGAATAATGATGAGAGCGATTCTGTGTATACAGTCGAGCATCTGTTTCAGACACCTCCTCCCGAGCAGCTGGGTCAGCGTCTCTTAACCAGTTTGCCGGAAAGCTGGCCCAGTTTCTTGACCGTTTTCGCCCCTCCAGCGGCAACCATAGAAATTAGCCCAGGTTTGGTTCAACAGACTTCCTGGATGCTGTCACAGTTTTCTTACATCATAATGGTCTTGATCATACTTTCGGTTGTAATGATGGTCAGAGTAATGATGATAAGGATTGTGCACATTATGAATGAGGATAAGGTCAATGCTGAGGAGGACAAGGGGGGAGGGAGGGAGGAGGACCAGACTAGCGGCTGGACGACGCGGAGTGCCGCGCGAATGCCTGGACGCTCCTGGGCCAAGATAGCGCGCCTGCGGGCAGCCGCTGCTGCAACTGTCTGCGCACGGTCGAGCAGCGGGAGGGGCAGCCCTGCGGCGAGCCACTTTGCTGCAAGGCGCGGCACGCTTTCCGCTGCGCCTGCATGGGCGGCACCGAAGCGCGCAGCAGGGATGTGGAGGACGTGTGGGGCCGCATCCATTATGAATGCGGCTTCCATACGGGCCGGCAGGTCCCGGTCCCGGCTTGGGCTGGCTGGCGCTGGCGCTGCGCCGCGGTTGGCTGCCGCGCGCGCGAGCGGGCCGCGCGCGGCGTGCTGGCTCCCGGCTGGCGCTACGCGACGCCCCATCGGGTGGGCCCTGCGGCGCTTGCGCGGGGCCGCTTGAGGCCGAGCGCTAGCAGGCGTTCCTCGAGGAGCATTGCCAGGTCGTGGAGGTGCTGGAGGAGTTCAGGGTGGATGGCGCGACCGCGGATCATTGCATCAATGTCCAGTGCGGCGCCATCCCTCGGCTCGAGCCTCTGGGGGAACGCGTTGGGAGAGGAGAGCGGGTAGTTTCCTGCTGGTCCCCAGCTCCTCGCCCGAGTGGCTTGGTTAATCGCGCATCCGACCGAGGTTTGTGGAAGGCGATCAATGGAGTGGAGGTGTGTTTACACATAAGTTCCACATGTGTAAAACATGTGTCACACATGTTTGACATTGTAAAACAGCTCAAACGCAAACTTTGAAACTATGTGTCAACCTTTTAAGCACCCGTGGAATTCAATGATAGGACTGTTAGCGTGTCCGTTGTCAGAGTTCTAGATTCCAGAGACCCGTTGTTCGCCTCGGGCTGGCAGGATGCACTCCGCGAAGCGTCACTTCGCACTGATACAGCCGCAGATGTTGTTTCGCGTGGTGTTTGCACAGTCGCGGCGGACCTCTTCGCTGACGGGGCTGGCCAGGCCGCCGTCGCGCTTGCGTGGCGTTCCCCCGAGCGGACAATAGTCGAGGCATATCTGAATGGCCGCGCAGTTTGGGCGCGCCCGCCCCGCGCCACGCTGCGCTCCTTTCTTGAATTTTTTGACGGCCACCTCGCGCAGAATCGCGGGGCACGCGTCGTGCTGCTCTGCCCAGAAGACAACGGTGAGATGAGATCCGCACGGCCTTCGCCAATGATTTCGACGCGAGGTCGGGCGAGGAGTATCCCTGCCAGGAGAAGCTTCTGTCCCTCGCCGCGGCTGAGTGGTCGGCAGCTCGGAGGCGCTCCGTCATCCAGGCGGGCGCAGCGACCCAGTTTGCGGGCGCAGTCAGTGCGGGCCCGTCAGTGGTAGCGGTTATAGTTCTTCAGGCAGCGTGCCCAGCGAACCAGGAGCTTCTTGCTCTGGTGAATGCCGCCGCGCTAAAGTGCGTAACCGAACTCACTTTGAATTTCCCGTGTTTGAGCGACGACGGGGGTCTCCCGACCGCCTCCGGGTTTTCTTGCAGGAGAAGGCTGGCGCGCAGGACTGGGCAGTCGAAGCCTGCGCCCGTTCTTCCCTCCATCTCCCCCCCTGGCGAGGTGGCGCGCGGTGGCTCAGGCCGTGAAGAGGAACGGGCCGTCAGATGCCGTGGGGGGCATTTTTTGGAGTTGACGCCCCTGGTGCCTCGCGCGATCGAGACCCGCGGGAAGAGTGCCCCCGTGGCGTCGGCCAGCGCGTCGTTGGGCGCCGAGGTGCTGGTCTAGGGCTTCGGGGTCGACCTCTTCTGGGCGTGGCCGCCCCCGTGGCGCGCGGCGGCCTGCGGCGGCGCCCCGCGGCGGCGGCGGGGGGCGGGGGCGCGGGGCCAGGCGGCCCCCCGGCCAGAGCTCTCGGGCCGCGGAGCACGCGTCGCCGTCGCTCGCGCCCGTCTCCGCCGGCCCCCCTGGGAGGAGAGGGGTCCTTCAGGGCTGCCGAGAGGCAAGTGGTCAAGCCGCGTGCCGCGGAGCTGAAGAAGCAGGCCGCGCGCTCCTCGGCGCGCGCCAATGCCGGATCGACGACGAGTTGGTCGACGAGGCCTGTCGCCAGGCGATGATGAAGGTCCCCCGCGCGACCCGCCGGAACCTCTGCCCGAGCAAGCGCGTGGCGGTTGGGCGCCCCCTCGGGGGGCGCCGCGAGACAGGCCGCCCGTGCCTCGTCCCGCGTGCCAAGTGCATCAGAGCTGGGTGCAAGTGTGATTTCTTGCACAGGGCGAGCGAGTACTGGCACTGTGCCAGTCTTTTCTGGGCTTGGCCACTGGCCGAGGGTCATGCTCCCATCGGGGCGCTTCAGATGAGCCTAGGCGCCGTGCAAGTGCTCCTCCCCTGTCTCCGCGGCGCCATTCGCGCGGTTTTTATGCGCCCCTTCCGCGACCGCGCGGGCGTCCTAGATCTTGCGTGCTCTCGCCGTGCGGGGCTGCGGCGGCCAACTGTCCGCTTGCTGGGCCACGTCCGCGTCGCGCGCCGCGGTCCGCGCGCGCGACCAGCGGCGATCTGCGCCCCTTGCCTCTGTGGGCCGGGGCGCTGCTGGAGTCGAGTTCGCGGGTCCTGTTTGGCAAGCCGAGCGCGTTCCGTGTTCGGGCGTTCCCGATCCCGCGCGAGGCGCCAGGCGGCGTCGCGTCTGATCCTTCTTCGGTTCGGCGGTTCGCTTATCCTCGTGGGGTGAGTGAGGCGAGGGGAGAGGCCGGGCCGGCCGCAGAAGCTTCGGGCCCGGCTCGCCGCCGCCGCCGCCGCCATCGTTTTCACATTGTTCTCCGTGGCCTTTCTGGCCCAGTGCGCTTGGTCAGGGGACGTGATTTTTCGCCAGGGCCGCAGGGGCGGGGCTTCGCGGCGAGCAATGGCGTCGCCCCTTCGCCGCCTACGCGCCAGGCGCGGACGGCGCGCGCAGCCGCCGGCTTTTCCTCTGCGCGGAGCGCCGCGCGCGATTCGGCGGGCGCCCGCGCGGCGCCGCCGCCGCGGCCGCGCGGCCGCCCGCGCTCCGACTGGCAGCCGGGGGCGCCGTGGCTGCGGTTGGCGCGCCAGGGGGCCGGGGGCTGGCGTGGCCGCTGGTCATGCTGCCCGTGGTCGCCAGCTCCCCTGGCCAGCCCCTAGAGCAGGGCGCCCGGGCACGAGCGGCCGCTGCCATCCCCCAGTGTTTTGCCCCAGCTTGGGAACGGTCGATATGCGACCCGTGCGATTCGAACTTGCGCGGCGCTATGGGCGCAGCGCAGTGGGGTCAGACGTAACTTTGCAACTCCTTCCGGCAGGCGCGGGCGTGAAGATCGCGGCGCTGTTCGCTGGGCTGGTAGGGCAGCTGTGGCCCGCGGCCTGCGCCGCGAAGGCGGCGATGCCTGCGGGGCATCTCGAACGAGATTACCTCCATCTCGTCGAGGCTTCTTGAGCTCGGCTTGGCAAAGTTGGCAGACCATGCAGCGGGCGGGGCCATGCGCCCGCGCGCGGCTGGCCAGTGGTAGCCGTGCGGGCCTGCGGGGTGCCGCCGTTGGCGTCGCTTTCTTTTGCGTCCGGCGATCCGCGGGTGCGTTTGGCTTCGAGCTCCGCGTCCTGGTCGTCGCTGGCGGTTGCCCGCGGCTGCGCGCGCGGAGGCAGAAGAACGGAACGTTCGGCTTGGGGGTGCTGTGCTGGTTGCCGACGCTGCCGGCGACGGGGGAGCTGTGCCCGCTTCTTCTGGCGAGGCGGTGGCTGGCGCAGCGCGAGGGCAATTGCGGCTGGGCGCCCGAGGGTCGACCTGTGTCGTGCGAGACGGTTCGTCGCAGTCTGGCGGGTGCGTTGAAGGATCGTGACGTCGGCGCGCATTTGTTCCAAAAATGGCGCGCTCAGTTGTGGGGGATGTCAAACAACTTGACGAACGAATCGATCCAGGCGCAAGGCGGCTGGGCTTCTGCAGAGGCCGTGTGCCCCTGGTATATTCCCCTTTCACGAATGGCAGCCAGAGGGGGAGTTCGTTGGACACAGCAGCGGCCGTCAACTCCGACGCCCCGGCGCCGGCACCTGCGCCTGAGTTTGCGGTGGCCGACGCGTCCAAGAAAAAAACCTCTCCCCTGCAGCCTGCGCGCTCGCCGCTTGATTGCCGGCGCTGGCGGTTAGGCGGGGGCCCCCTGTCGAGGCTTCGCGCGCGTCCCGCCGCCTGGTCCTCAGTCGTGCGATTTTGCCCGAGTCGCCTCGAAATATCCGGCCCTGCTGCGGCCCGCCGTCGCCGTGGCCCAGCCGGGTCGCTCCCCGGGGCCTTCCCGCTTTTGGTCCCCAGCTTCGCTGGCTCAACTTATTCGGGGGGCTGTTCTGGGAAAGGGATCCTTTGAGGGGGCTGTGCGTTCGTAAAGGGCGTTCCCTGGCAGCCGCATCCCCAGCCACGGAGTTTCAACATGTGGTGCAGGCGCGGTGTGGTGCTTCGAGCTTGTGGCCCTGCCCTCCCTGACCCTTTTTTCTGCAGTGCCGCAGTGCGCCGTCCTTCGGGGGGGTGCCGTGCTGCCCTGTGGCAGCATTACATAGCGCAGCCCACAGGCTTCGATCGGCATGGGCGTGCGGCCTGAACGCGCTCCTTTAGAGGCACCGCAGTGCCGCCGAGGAAAAAAGCCTTTCCCCTCCTGTGGTCACGCCCGCCGCTTGCCCAGACGGGTGGCTGGGCGGGCACCCCCCATCGACGCTTCGCGCGTGTTCCGCCGCCTCGTCCTCCTTCGCGCGATTTTGTCCGAATATCGGGGCCCTGCTGCGGCCCGCCGTCGCCGAGGCCCCCGGCGTCGTCGGGGCGGGAAACCCAGTCGTGCCGCTCCCGGGGCCTCCCCGCTTTTGCTCCCCAGCTTCGCCGGCTCAGCTCACCCAGGGGATTGTCCTGGGAAAGGAGGGGCCCGAGGAGACGAGGAGAAGGGAAAGGGGGAGGACGAGGGGGAGCGCGGCGACGGCGACGACGGCGACGACGGCGACGGCGACGGCGGTGACGGCGACAGCCGCCCCCCGCCCAGTGGTCCGCCGCCGCCCGGGCCACCGCCCGGCGCGCCGCCCGGGGGAAATGCTGGTGATCCGCCCCCGCTGGTCGCCAGCGGATCGGCCCTGGGCCCAGGCGCAGGCAAAGGCCGGTGGGGCGGCCGCGGCGGCGCCTGGGAGGAGAGGGCGGGGAGGGAGGGAGGGAGAGAGGGAGGGGGAGGGGGAGGAGGAGGGGGAATGGGGGAGGAGGAGGGGGAAGTTGGATGGGGGAGGAGGATGGGGGGAGGGGGAGGGGAGGAGGGGTGGGATGGGGAGGAGGAATGGGGGAGGAGGGGTGGGAGGGGGAGGGGGAGGGGGGATGGGGGAGGAGGAGGGCCTGAGCAAAGCCAGGGAGCATCCACGATGCTGCAGTGCACCCTCCCGCCGGCACCACCCAGACATGCTTGTACGAAGTGTGCGTCGGCCCCGCAAGGGCGACGTGCGCGCTCAGACATCGTCTTGTGCAAACACTCCGTTGCGGGCGCGTTCTGGCCATGCCGCTCGGGAAACGACATCCTACAAAATTGCGAAGACCTTGGCGCCGACCCTGCAGGGAGACGGCGACGACGACAGCGGCGGCGGCGGCGGCGACGACGACGACGCTGACGTGGGCCAAAGTAGTATATGTTCGTGTCGGACGTGCGCCTCCAACATCAGCACAGAGTAAATACTGCAGGCTGTAGTATGTCCTTCTGCCTCCCATCCCGTCCCAGGCCCTCTCCTCCCAAAGCACTGCAGGCCCGCCTTTTCACCACGAGGGGCGCCCTCCTGATGACGAGCACCCTGCGGTGCCTGCCTCTTCGGGCGCTAGGCCCCATTTCGAAGAAGCTGTGCCCTGCATCCTTCCAGCGAGTGTTCTGGTCAGGAGTTCAGCGTTCAGAGTGTCGCCCCTCCTGCTGGGGCCCCCCGTGCGTCGCCGCGACGCGCGTATCCACGTCCTCATTTTCAAGCGTCAACGCCCCGAGCCTTTCTGAGCCGCCCCCCCTAGCCGCTCCCGTGGAGCGGAGCGAGAAGGTATCCGCCCGCAGGACGTAGCGTGTCGCAGGGGCCGCCGCCTCGGCGCGCCGAGCAAGAGTTCCCGACCGCAGAGGACGCGAAACACTGGGAGCATATGTCAGCCAGTGTAGCTTCTAGCAGTGCATGCTGTGCAATCTATGCGGTGCAGTCGACGAGGTGCAAGCTATGTGGTGCAGTATTCGTTGCGCAATCTATGTTGTGCCATCTTCGTGGGACAATTTACTCGGTGCCATCGATGTGGTGCAATTGACTACCCTGCACCGCGCGTGACCACCTCCCATGCTCGTGCAATCATGCCACCCACTCACCCGCACGTTGGTTTGCAAAAGCCTTGCGGCCGCGATTGCGATGACTGCTTGGCGCTGGCTGGCGCATCGCTGCGGCCGCGCTACCGCGTGCAGCCTCGCGCGCAGAGCGGCCAGCTAGTCTGGCCCGACCGACGCGTCCGCGGTGGCGCTGACCGCTGGGCGCTGGGCATTGCCCAGCGCGTCTCGCAGGTCGCGCTGACGCGTGGGCACTTCAATGCGATTCGGTGACTCGGGCGGGCGCGAAATCGTGGCGACGTCGGCAACGGCAAACATGACGATGATAGTAGCGATGCTGGTGACGATGCTGACAATGACGACGGCAAGGCCAATGACGGTGCCGATGGTGATGACGCCGATGACGATGATGGTGTCCTCGCGTCGGTGAGGGAGGCTGTTGGAACGATTTGGACATTCGCGCACGGCCGTCGCGCGCGAGTGGCCTGCAATGTATTATCGGACAGGGATCGTGACCCCCACAGCATGCGCGCAAGGGCGTTCGAATGATGCCGTCCTGCGCGTGAGAGAAGCCCGTTTGGTCGCATTTGATGAACATGTTGAAAGCCAACTAGGGTTTGGTGTCGCAGAATTTGCGAGTGCGCGCAAATGTCTTCCAAAACTCATGATGTATTTTTAAGTTTAAAAGCGTATCGGGGCATTCGGTTTCACATCCGCACGGATCCCACGGCTCTTGGTCGATTTCGGCATGAATGTGCGACGGCATACGTCTGTGGTGTTCCTTAGTTTTTTTGCAAGTGTTCTTGCACATGTATGTTTTTTGATAAGCGAGTGTGCGCACATATTGTTTGTGCCAAAAGATGACGGGGCCAGGCTGTGCCGGGCTGGCTGGGAAGGTATAGATTCATGCGGAAAACGAACGAGGAGGCGGAACCATATTACATTGTAATACAAAAGGTGATCGGGAAATCCTTGGGAGGGGTGGTAGGCGCTAACTTGTTCGAAGATCGGGGGATCTCTGTTGTGCAACATACGTGTTGCAATCTAGGTCTACAATCTAGGCGGGAAAAGGGGCGGCGACGGGGCGGCGACGAGGCTGCGACGGCGAGCATGGAGCCGCCATGTCACCACCCAGGCCCATACGACGGGCGGCGATGAAACGCGACGGGGCGGCGCGGCGAGCACGGAGCCGCCGGATCGACACCCAGGCCCAGCTCTTTAGATCAGCATTGAGAACCCCTACATGCAAGCACTGTTTGTGGAACAGTTGAGCATTGTGCTCGCCGATAGCCCCATATTGAAAAAGGATCCGTCCGCTCTCGTGCAACCAGTGCTCGAACTTACCTGTCTGGTTGTCAACGTCTTGGGCGCCTGAAGCGATAACCCCCACTTTGGGAACGAACAGCCCTACATCCGCTCAAATGGTACATCTGCTCAACCTTTTGGTCTTCAAATTCATGTGAGCCTCAAGCGAAAACAACGTTTTGGATTAGGATTCGCCCTCCATTCCTGTAGTTGTTGCAGGCATTTCAGACGAATGTGCGCTGAGCTCCGGCGAGAGCCCCATTTTGAAAGCCTTCCCTTGAATTTCCGTAACTGTTGAAATGTTATAAGACGGGTGTGCGTGGCGCTAAGGTGATAACCCCATTTTCAAAGCCATTCCCTGCATCCTCGTAGCTGTATGGAGCTTTGAAGACGACTGTGTTCGGCGCTAAAGCGAGAGCCCATTGTGAAAAGCATCCCCCCGTCCATCTGTGTAGCTATGCCAAGCTTCAAGCTTCATAGTATTCAAGGCGAAACGCCCAGCCCAGCCCGCCCTACCGACACCTCTTGGGGTGTGACAGGGAGGTGTCAATCTCTAAGGAAATGTAACGGAGGGGAATTATTTTGGACTATTCAGGGACAATTTGCACGATCGCACGCTAGAGTTGACTCAATTGGCAAGCATTGTGGGAAGCAGTGATGCAGCGTGTAGGTGTGAACGACGCGGATAAGAGAGCCAATGTCAAGCGTAGAGACAGGACCACGATTCCAAACATCGTATTTGCCAGGATCGCTATGTTGCCGTTGAAAAGTAGCAGTCGCCCAAAAATTGTATTCTGGTCGGCAGCATGTGGCTGGTTGCCTCTGGTAATATGCGATACATTCGCGTGCGATCGCAGACAGGGCGAGATACTTGCGATCCTCACTGCGACAGTTCGCGGTTGGAACGAAGATCTTGTGGGACATTGCTAGTGGGTGATGATGGACATCGCAGTGTGTATATGAGTCGTGATCATTCCAAGCATGACGGCACCAGTGTCTTAGTTGGCGGCCCCTACAAGCTTGCTGTTCGTTCCCGCTCTTCTCTGGTTTGTCTCCCTCGTGCAGGGGGCAAGCGCTTCCCGATGGAGGGGACCAGTGGCCTGCAGTGCAAGTACGGCCGTTCTTGCAAGAGTGCCCAGGTCGGCACTGGGATCGGTTCTGTCTTTGCAGACTTGTCGGGCAACATTGATGTGGGCAGAGGTCCAATCGTGGGAAGCAGCGAGAGGGTGCCAGCCTGTCAGAGAGGACACAGTAAGGCCTTGCAGTAATGGGCAGCTTCTTTGCTTGGTGGTCTGAGTGTCCTCTCTATTTCAAGGAAAGAGAAATAGTTATCTCACGATGTGATCAAGCACCATCTTTACATTCATCTTGACCACATCAGAACCGACATGCTATTCACGGGGCTCTCATTACATATTTTCAATACGTATGTATGTTTTATATGTATATATATATGTATTTATGTATTTTAGTTTTTTTGTAGAAATCCAATATGGTCTCTCGGGATTGTGAGGTTGCAGTCTACGATGCCGCCGCGGCAGCGGTAGTCAAGTAATAGAAAGCGCACTCTCCAAGTAGGAGCACGCAATAAAGGCGAGGCCTGTGCAGCGCCCTACGAGCGTCTCATATTGAATTAAGCTGACGCCGGATTCCACAGCCAGCCACTCTGGTCAGCTAGCGCATCCTGCCAGCCAGTCGGGTGGACCCTGCCAGGCTGCCCGCTCAGTCAGCTAGCTGACCGAGCCAGCCCAGCCAACCACCCTGAGCAGCCAGCGCAGCTGGCCAGCCCAGCCAACCCTGCAAGCCTAGCCCGCCCAGTCAGCCAAACTGGCTCAGCCAGCTCAGCCAGCCCAACCCAGCCAGCTCAGCCGTTCCAGCCAATCTGGGCCTGAGAGTCCGCCAGCCCAGCTAGACAGGTGAGACATCCAGCCCAGCCAACCCCATCCAGCAATGCAAGCTCAGCCTGCCCAATCAGCACGGCGGGTTCGGCCAGCAAAGCAGGCCCAGCGAGTCTGTTGCCCAGCGCATCCTGGCCCGCCGGTCATGCCTGCAGCTCATTTGGCCTCCTAGCTAGTTTCCAGCTGTGGATCAGGAACTTCATCTTCGTTTGTCACCTTGCCAGTATGCACGAGCTCGATAGCATTGTCACCGCAGTATCAATACGCGTAGAGAGAGTGGTGCACCAGTCCTCTCCAGCACGATGTCCACCTGATCATCACGATTTGCTGGAAATTTGTATACACTGGTACCCCAATTCAGGTGTACCCATAGAGGTACCATGTGTCGTGGAGCAGATTGGCAATCCCCCTCCGTCCTCCATTGTCCTGACCTCGGGATCATGACCACACACGTCGCTGGGGAGCGAGTTCGTTGTTGAAGAAAGGCACAACCATTTCAATTCCTTTATGCACATATGTTGCGGGCGTCTGGGCACCATTCTTGGCTTTTGCTTTTTGTTTAATTTTATTTGGGGGGTGGGGCTTCGGCTTGTGGTAATGTAGCGTTCGTTCGGTGAGACCATGCTTCTTGGAAGCGCTTGAGACTTCCGTTGTTCAAATATTGCGTCTTGCTTGCGTGAGCACTTTTGTCGCAATGCTTTACAGCTCGAATTCTGCTGGAACCAGGCAGTTCCATTGGTATTTGATGGTCGTCGTCGACCGGCTGGGCGGATAAATTTGGGGCATGTCTGGCCAGCTCGCCTCCAATCGACAGGATCTCGTTTTGCGGCCAGTAGTGTTCATGTTGACGGGTGGGGACGCCAGCTCCACACGGGCATGATGGGTTCGGGCGGGAGCAACATTGATTTTCACAGTCACGAGTGGCTTTTACTCCCCATATCTAAAGATGGTTTTGTCATTTCTCAGACGGATCCGAGATAATAACTCATCCTTCTCTTCGCCTTCTTCTCTTCCTCCTCCCCAGCCAGAGTGACCCACTCACAGTCACACTCTCTCGCTCATACTCAGTCGTACTCAGACCCAATCACACTCAGACTCACTCACACTCTGACTCACTCACAGTCGGATTCATTGACAGTCAGACTTGCTCACGTTCAGACTCACTCATTCTCATACTCAGTACATGCAGACTCACCCACGCTCAGACTCACTCACACTTAAACTCACTCCCTCTCGGGCTCAACCGCATCCAGCCGAACTCACATTCATATTTTTCTTATGCAGACTCAGACTCGCTCATACTCATTGGTGGTCCAATGCTCGCCGCGATAGAGCAGGCGTAGCATTTGGGCACCCCAAGGGGGGGCGCCGGGGGTCAGGATATTCCAGGATTCGCGCCCAGATTGTGGGGATGTCTCAGGCGGTTTGCCTGTTTACATGCCCAACACCCTTTGCTTTCGGAGCAGACTCTGAGGATGCCTTCGGTGAGGCGCTGGTTTCAGCACTCCTAAGGGGGGGCGCCAGGGGTCAGGACATTTTTGGATTTGCGCCCAGATTGTGGGGATGTCTCAGGCGGTTTGCCCGTTTGCATGCCCACCATCTTCTGCTTTTAGGCGAGGCGCTGGTTTCAGCGCTTTTCAGGGGGGGGCGCCAAGGGTCAGGACACTCAGGGATTCGCGCCCCGACCGCTGGGGATGTCTCAGGCGGTTTGCCCGCTTGCATGCACAGCATCCTTTGCTTTCGGGGCAGCTTGTCGGGACGTCTCAGGCCGTTTGCTTGCTTCTGCCCCCCCCCAGACTTTTTGTTTTGGTGGTCCAGTGCCCACCGCCATATAGCAGGCGTACCGTTTGGGCACCCCAAGGGCGGGCTACCAGGGGTGGGACACACCAGGGTTCGTGATCAGATTGCGGGCAAGTCTCAGGCGGTTTGCCTGTTTATGTCCCCCACGTTTGTTTCGCTTTGTGGTCCAGTGCTCGCCGGGGTATAGCAGGCGCGGCACTTGGGCAACCCAGGGGGGAGCCGCCAGGGATGGGGACACCAGGATTCGCGCTCAGATTGGGGGGATGCCTCAGGCGGTTTGCCTGCTTCTCCTCCCCCCCAGACGTTTTTTGTTTTGTGGTCTAATGTTCGCCGTGATATAGCAGGCGCGGCCTTTGGGCACCCCAAGGCGGAGCCGCCAGGGGTGGGGACGCTTCAGGATTCGCAGTCAGATTGGGGAGATGGATGTTTGTCATACTTTGCCCCCCACACTTTTCTTTGGAGTTGTGTGCTCCTCACTCGCTCACTCACCTCCTTCTCCTTTCCCCCGCTCGGACCCACTCATTCGCATTTTGACTTACTCATCAGCACCTCTTCCTCCATCAGACGCACTCATCACATCCAGACTCGCTCATATCAATATTTCAGCATATTCAGATTCGCACATTGTTGCTCAAACTCAGACCCACCCATACCCAGACCAATTCACATTCATATTCACTCACACTCAGACTCACCAGCCCTTAGGCTCACTCATACGCAGACTACCTCGCACCCAGGCCCACTCATACTCAGATTCGTTTTCATCGCATTCAAACTCAGACTCACCCACGCTCAGACTCACTCACACTCAGACCCACTCGCACTTCGACTCGTTCGCACTCAGGCCCACTCATACTCAGACCCACTCGTACTCACACTGACTTTGTCCAGGCTCACTCACACTCATGGGCGATCTCACCCTGGTCCACTCATACTCCGACTCGCTCACAGTCGGGTAACCCACGCTCAGATTCGCTTGCATTACAGCTCACCAGCACAAATGGTGACCGCGATATAACTGGCGTCCCACTTGGGCACCCCAAATGCCAGCAGGCGCCGCGAGTAGCACGCCAGAGAGCGGGCGTAGCAACGCCATGCGCGCTTGTCTGAGTTGCCGCGGGGAGAGCGGCAAGAGGAACTCCCCCTCGCTCTTCCACTTGCGTTTCCCTAGCCTCTCCTGAAAGATGTCGGGAGGAGGAGGAGGCGGAGGAGGAGGAGGAGCAGGAGGAGCAGGAAGAGGACGTCACTGAAGACGTCGCTGTCGTCGTCGTGGTCGTTGCCGCGCCTGGCGTCTACGCGGACTCACTCTCGTGATAAGAATGAGATGCACATATCGGGATCTCCGCGTCGAGCAGTTCACGGTTTCCAGCCCGTCTGTGTTGGCTCCTCGTTTTGAGAGAGCCCGCTCCTTTTCCTTCGCCCGCATCGTGCAGGCACGTACGTGCCGCCGATGCGCTGCGCCCCTGAGAGGTCCAGCGGAGCCGGGCGCCACGCAGATCGGAACGGCAACACTCGTCAAACATGAAATGACGGTTCTTGTTTTCGATGCTTGTGTGGTCGGCGCTTTTTCAATGCTGGCATGAGAGATTATTTAGGCCTTTGCGCATGGGTGTCCGAATTCCGGAGGCAGCCTCAGCAGTGAAAGTGCGCTTTCTGACAAGTGTCCGATCCATCTAACGCCACGATTTTGAACGGCGCGTCAGTTTACTTGTGACGAGGCTGGTTGAACGTGCCCTCCCTGTCCGCTGCCAAGCGCGCGGGTGTCGCCACTTTGCTGTTCCCGTGAGGGGTTCAGCAGAGTCGGAGTCGAGAGCGCAGAGTCTGTGGGTGGTGCTGGGCGCGCACTTGTCGGCAATGTGTCTGCGTCCCTGGGATGACCCGTGGAGCCTCGCCCCACGCAGATCCAACTGGATCTCGCCCTCGGTAGGTGCTGCCCACCGCGCAAGTGTCGGCGAGGGCGCGCCAGATGGATCCAACCGAACTTCGCCCTTCCTGGGGCCAGGCGGGCAACTGTCGCCAGTTTGCCGTGCTCCTGAGAGGTCCAGCGAATTCGCGCCCCATGCAGATCCGGTGTGACCTCGCCCTCACTGGGTGCTTCCTGGCGAGCACCTGTCGGCCCGGTGCCCCTTTGAGGGGTCCGGCGTAGTCGGGTGTCGCGCAGATCCATCGGGCCCCCCATAATTTCCTGGGTCCCGCCAAGCGTGCACTTATCGCCACTTTGATGCGTCCATGGGGGTCCAGCGGAGCAATGTGCCACGCATGTCGCAACTGGACCGTGCCCCCCCTTCCGCGCTCTCCCCTGTCCTCCTCGCCCTGCAGGCTGTCCTCGGTGTTCTCTTGATCCTCGCCCTCGTCCTCGCGCACATTCTCTTCCTGTGCGAATATCTTTTCCTTATAACTCCTGCCCGTCGCACGGCGAGACGTGTCGGTACGGCGGGCTGGGCGTTTCGCTTGAGACATCCTCATTGTTCATGATCTTGAAACTTCAAAACATAAGTTGCAGTAGTTTTACGGATGGAGGGTGGTTGGTTTGGTTGGTTTTCAACATGTGGCTCTCGCTTTAGCGCTGCGCACCTTTGTGCTAAACGTTGCAATCGTTTCGTGGATGGAGGGCGATTTCTTTTCAAAATGTGGCTTTCGCTTTAGCTCTGTGCACTCCCTTTTTAAATGTTCAGGATCTTCAAGGGTGACGGGCGGTTCGATTTAAAGTTGTGGTTCTCGTCTAGGCTCCGCGCGCATTCGTCCTACAAGTTTGTAAAAGCTTCACGAATGAATGGCGGCTCGTTTTCGACGCACATTCGTCGTAAAAGTTTGCAGTATTTTCACTGATGGACGGCGGCTGCTTTTCCAACGTGTGTTTCTCGCTGTAGCGCCACGTACATTCGGTGTAAACGCTTGCAAGAGCTTCGCGGAGCGAGGTTTGTTTCTTTTCAAAATGTGGCTGTCGCTTTAGCGCCGCGCGCGTTCGTCTTAAACAGTTGCAGAAGTTTCACGGATGGAAGGCGGTTCGTTTTCCAAACGTGTCTCTCGGTTCAGCGCCGCGCACCTCCGTCGTAAACAGTTGCAGGAGTTTCACGGATGGACAGCGGGTTGTTTTCAAAATGCGGCTCTCGCCTTAGGCTGCGCTCATTGGTCCTAACAGTGTGCAGGCGTTCACGGACACGTCAAGAAATCGATGGGGGGCTGGTCTCCCTGCTCTTCCTCCTCCTCCTCCTCCTCCCTTTTTGTCCTCCTGCCGTGCACAAGCAAGAGGGGCACGTCCAGAATGATCGTGGACCGAAAGACAGAGGCGAGAAGTTACGGTTTAACGGTGCACGTGGGGAAACTGCGATACTCACAAGCGGTCTCCCGCGACCATGGAGCGTGAGAAGTATGGAGGACGACGTCCGGGTCCGTCAACAGGGGGAGCCAGATAAGTATTTCGGCAGGAAGTTCAAGCTTAATCTTTGTCGCGCGACAGGACCCCCGCACCGAAACTCTTCTGGATGGGCAGTACTCTCCCGTTTGAAGGATATCCTGTTCCAGCGGCCTTTGTCTCTTCGGTGTCGCGTTCGTTTGTTCCTTTCGCGTGGCACCCTAAAGCGTGTTGCATGCTGCAGGAACTTGGGATCTTACCGTGGACCAACAGAACAAACATCGCACGACACAGCGCAGCATGCTTCGCAACAGGGTGCGTGATGGATGCCTGTCAGATGTGTCGTGGGTTTCTCACATCAGGCGGGCTAGGCACATCAGGGAGGACATCGCCACCAGGCTCGGCGTGGAGGATTGGACCGCGCTTTTCAGGAAGGCGGAAGAGGCGCTGACCGACAAGATCTCCGCGTACGCAGACAGCTGGCGGAATGTCAGAGCGCTATGTTTGGGCGCCGTGGCATAGGGTGCCGGTTTCGAGAATGCGAGGCGGACAGCACAAATGCTGGAGTGACGCTTGACGACGATGCAGTGTTTTTCACAACCCGGCGCAAGGCCGAAGGCGTAGGGGCGCCCCCGACACCACTATGGTCTGTCTATCCCTGTCTCTGGCTCCTTTCTTCCTCCTTCCCCCTCTCCTCCTCCTCCTCCTCCTCCTCCTCCTCCTCCTCTTCCTCCTCCTCCTTCTACTCCTCCGCCATTCTTTCTCCTTGTCTATAGCTCCTTTGTGGCGCACCACCAGACGTGTCCGTAGGCCGGGCCGGGCGTTTCGCCTGAGACTTCCTCGCGGGTTCCGATCCGGAAGCTTGAGATTTGCAGCATTTTTAATCATGGAACTCGGCTGGTTTTCAAAATGTGGATCTCGCTTTAGCGTCGCGCGCAGTCGTCTTAAACGTTGCGACAGTTCCAAGGATGGAAGCCGGCTCGTTTACAGATTGAGGCTCTCGGGTACTTGTCGCGCTCATTCTTGTTTCAAGCCTGCGATAGTTTCAAGGATGGGCGTTGGCCCCTTTTCAACATATGGCTCTCGCTTTTAGCGCCGCGCTTATCTACGCGACCCAACCTTCACAGTCTGACGCAACATCTATTATTACGTGCATGTCCGTCCGACCCACCCTTTACCATCCGATGCAACACATAGTTCACATCCATGCGACCCACCCTTCAGCATCCCATGTGAAACAAATATTCGGAGCACACTCGTACGACCCAACCCTCACTCTCCTATGCGCAACATGATATGCAAGAGGCTTGCGCCGTTCCGCCGACCCCCCAAATAGGGATGAAGTCAACGGGTGCGGCCTCTGGGGGCCTCTTGGGGGCTGTGTTTTGTGCGTTTTTGTAGCCTTTTCAGGCCTATTGGGGGTTTTCAGGGCGCCTGCTGGCGGTCTCGGGGGTCCTCTGGGGGCGGAGGGCTTGGAATGTCAGTTCGAGGTGCCTCTCTGGGCCCCCTCTTGGGGCCCTGTTGGGGCTCTCTTGTGCCATCTTGGGCGCCTTTTGGGCCGTCTTGGGACCCACTTCGGCCGTCTTGCGGCCCTTTTGGGGGCTTTTTGGATCGTCTTGGGGCGATCATTGGGGCCTCTTGAGCCGTCTTGGACGCTGTTTATACCCCAGATGCGAATATGTACAATTTCAACGTTTCCCCGAGGGGGATTTGGATGATTCTTGCTTCTTGGGGCATCCTCGGGGGTCGTCTTGCCTTCTTGGGGCGTTTTTGAGGCTTCTTGAGCAGTCTGAGGCTATCTTGGTCGTCTTTCAGGATTCCTCTGCGTTGGAACGTTAATTATTCGACCAAATATCGATTCTCAGGCATCTTGGAGGCCACAGGGTGTAGAAATGGAGTCACCAGAGGCCCTGGGGGAATGTTGCCGGGGCTCCCCCCGGACCCATCCCTGGGCACCTCCCCTTCTAATCGGATTTCAGACCCCATGGGAGGGGGAGATGGGGAGGAGGACAGTCAATCATGTCACACGCCTTTGCACCTCCGGCCAGCGGGGGTCGCCGACCCTCACCGTCCTAGGCGACAAACCATACGACCCAACCTTCATCATCCTTTGTTGCAATCCATCCGGCTCATCCATCCTGCTCAGCCGTCACCATCCGACGCAAATTAAATACGCATACGCACATTTGCGCACATCCATCCGACCCAACCCTCACATTCTTATGTCAACAACCGTACCCAGTGCGCATCAGCTGATCTTCAACATCGACCCGCCCCCTGGCCCAGAAGAGCCCCTGGGCACAAGAGGCAGACAACAAACAATACGTCGTTAGCAAATACATAAACAATCAATGCGTTTCGGGCACCCCTCGCTGACTCCACAACCTCGGAATAGATACAGTGCGGGTCGTTTTCAGGAAGTGGCTCTCGCCCTGGCGCCGTGAATGCTCGACTTCAGAATTGTCCTCAGCTGCGCGAGTGGACTGCGAGTAATTTCCAAGACGGTAGGGGCGTTGGACAAGGATCCCTTGATAAGGCATCCCGGGGTCTGGAAGCTGGTGGAACTCCGATCGCGGATCGTTCATGGAAATCGCCGCCGCCCTCATCAGATATCAAATCCTCCAGGGTCTACAGCTTCCTGGGCACACGCCGTTTTGGTGTCTCCCTACGGCCTCGCGCGCAATCGAATACAAAGTTCAACATCGACACTTACTTGACCTTTCCTCGACTTCAACGACGCGGCGTTCCGTATTGTCCACCAGCTGACACGGATGGTGGGCGGCCTTTTGTTCGAAAATGGGCTCTCGCGTGACATTTCGGCCAAGCATACTTCC